TTACTCAACCATAACTATAATTTGCATGTTTATGACAAAAAAAGCTCCTGAATGCAGAAGTCAGACTAAACTAATGGAAACAAATGACAATCTTTCTATAGGTATTCTTTGAAGAGGATTTACAATTATTATAAAATGCAACGTTGTCAAGGTAATCATGAAAACTGTCATGGTTTAGTATTTTAAACATGATAGAGTGTACAAACTGACTTAACGACAAACTTAGCCTGAACATGTGTAAATATAATTAACAATACACAGCATTTAGCACTTATGCAATAGGAGAGCCAGCTAATTAACATAATTTTCAGTCATTAGCAGACCTACCTTAATTGTCTTTCAAGTGATGGATTCAATGAATAACTATAAATTACTTACAGTTTTCTCAATCAGTTGTAATAAAAATAAGAATTCCAGTACACACTACAGGTACCACCATGGTCCACTGGTGTTCTAAAAATTTGAACAACTGAAAAAATCAGGTGATTTGTCACATGACCTAGCATCTTAGTTTGTCTTCGTAGAATGAGAAAATTGTTGTTTCCTGTTTTGAAAGGTTATTTTGTGTATCCAAATCAATTTTTAATTATGCAATAATCATTTTTTGAGATAAGAATGGAGAATCTAATAATTAATATGCAAATTAGGTAATTAATATGCATGATTTTGGACCCCAAACTAAACAGGTGTATGTATTCTCCAGGTACACCTACATACCAAGCTTCATTGGAATTTGGTGATTATAGTTTTTTAAAAATCAGATTGGTGTGCAAGATATCTATGGAAAAAATGATTAATTATCATGCAAATTAGGTAATTAACATGTGCTGGTTTTAGCGTCAAACTAATCAGAAATGTGGATTGTTTGAGAGCATCTACGTAGCATGCTTCATTGAAATGTAGGTAAATAATCCTTAAAGCAAGTTAAATCTTTGAGATTGTTTTCATACTTTTACTAAATACTGATATTTTGATTACAGTGTATATAGCCATTTGATCATTTTCAGTTTATTGTGAGATCCCGCGTTATGCGTGAAATTGAACGTAAAAACAGGACAAACAAAGGTCATAGCGTCATGATGATATAAAAAAAATTGCGTGGGATTCGACAAACGCGGAAATATTTTGGGGGTAGTTTCATGCTTAATAGACTGCTAAACCTCTGCCTTCATAAATACATTTTCTAAGAGGATTAATATTATTTTGGTGTTCATATAGAAATAACATATTTCAACACATAAATAACGCATTTTGGTTCTTAAAGTGGTTTAGAGGTCAATTTTTGACATGATTTTCTTTTTCGTTTCCCATCTTTTAGGAATAATATTCATCAGAATTCTTTTCTTCTATGACCATTGTCATTTTTTAATGAGGTATCAAACAGAATTTTAATATAGATATATTTAGTAATTTTAGTAAATTTAAATCTGCATTGCTGAATTATTTTTATATAAAGTCTTATTAATTAATTGTTGTATTTTAAGGTAGAAGCCTACTCAGAATTTTTGAGAAAGTTGGTCATTAATTGCAGGACAGCGTTCATTGGTCTATTATGTAAAATCATGAACATTTCTCGAAAATTAAGCTGGTAACCCCCAAATTTGTTTAGTCAATATTCTTATAAACTAGAAGTACAATTTATTTTTATTCATGAGTAGGCTTAACTTAGGTATTATTGTCATTTGTCTTGTTAGTTTGTTTGTTGTTGTTGTGGAACCTGTAATTGGGAAATTTATTCCTGTTTGTAAACCAAATGAATGAATGAATGAATGAATGAATGAATGAATGAATGAATGAATGAATGAATAAATGAAAGAATGAATGAATGAATGAATAAATATTTGAACAAAGAGCTTAGGGTATGGATTAACGGGGAGCCAGCCACCCACTGACTGCCAGCAATCAACACTGCTCATTTTTATAAATATCAAGGTAGTAAACAAGTTAAAAATGTTTGAATTTATTTGGATTAAAATAGTACAAGCAAAACATGACAGCTGGCATTGAAGGGTTCAAAATGGAAAAAGGTCACAATATCCCCCTTTTCAGTCAGGTTTTTTTTCATTTTTTTTCATTTTTGTCACTGTAACCCATTCTGTTATTATTGTGTGGAAAATATAAAAATTATTAAAATAAAAAAAAAGAACTTTTGAAGACTCAAAGACTCTATGGTTGTGGTTCCTGGAAAAGACATTTGTACGCCATATTAATTCAAACAAAATGAAAACAATTATAAATGAATATATTATTAGCTTTATCAAAAGTGCGAATAGGGAATTTACTTGACGTCCAAAACAAAAAAAGTTCGCTTAATGTCCTAGGAAAAATTCGAAAAATGATGAGGTAATGAAATTTCATTTTATTTTCATATTTTTTTTTTCTGTATGTAGATTATTTAATAACGCAACAACAAGATACAAGTTCAATGTTTAACATTTTCTAATTAATGCTTTCGAATACATGTATTTAAGATTGATTTGGAAGATTAAAACTTCCTCTGAAACACAGTACAAAACATTTTCCCATTCTATCGTATGTGGCACACTTTACCAATATGCAGATTGCAAAAAATGTGTGAGGTGAAGTTTTCAAACTGATGCGTGCAATGACGAGAAACAAATTTAAAGCTCTTTTTTCTAGCCTTAAAAAGTATTTCTAAGCTTACGAATTGTACCGGTATCATAAAACTGAATACCCTTCACGTCATGAAGTTATTTTAATAGCTATTTCTTACACTAAGAATGCACTTTTTTAATCAGACTATTCTGGGTATGTGATATTAATTAAAGGATGGGGGGGGGGGGGTAGTGATACAATCAATGTGGGTCCCATAATGCCATACATATAACAAGTGTAAAAAAAAAAAACATTTTCCCATTCTACCATAAGTGGCACACTTTATGATGCATGCAATGACAAAAAGCCCTAAAAAGTATTTCAAATTGTACCAGTATTATAAAACTGAACACCCTTCATGTTTTCATATTTTGACAGCTAATTCATATTTTGATAATGCCATACAAGTGTCAAAAAATCAAAAAAACAAAACAAACAAACATTGTATTGAAGTTGATATGAGAACCTCAGGGTGTGGATTTAAAAAAACAAAAAAAAATAATCTGCAATGAAAATTCGTTCATAGGCTTTCGCTATAAAATCTAATAAATAAGTAGCTAAACGAAAATAAATTATCACTTGTATATGGTATGCCAGGATTTCTAAAAAAGTTAAATTAAGGTAGAAGCATACTCATAATTTTTGACAAAATTGGTCATAAATCACATAACAATGTTCATTAGTTTATTATGTACAATCATGAAGCTAATGTCCCATGGTACAATTAAATAGCATTAATTTGTGTGTTACAGTTAAGCTTTTTGAGAAACGTGTCCTAATATTTCTTGAAAATTGCTATTTTTAGAACAATTTCATAGAACACAATGTTAAAGAAAAATTGCATTTTTTGACACTTTTTAAAACCTAGATTTAAAAAAAAAATTCAGAACAACCAAAAGTACTCATTAACATTATATGATGTCACCAGGCTAGATTTTGAGATATTGCATAATATCTCTGCCATAGGAATCTGTGGTAAAAGTGTTGTAATAGTGTCAAAATGGCGACTTTCCACTAAAATACAACCATCAATTTCTCGAAAAAAAGGCTGGTAACCCCCAACTTTGTTCAGGTTAAAATCCTTATATTACCTTGGAGTACAGTTTATTGCAAAATGATTAAATTCTGGGTATTTTAATTTATGAGTAGGCTTCTACCTTAAAACAAGTACTCAGTCACTAGTTTGAAGGGAGCAAAGGGGAATAGCTGATACAGTTTACAGGAAATAGAAAAAGGCATTTTATGTTTTTACAGGAAATGAAATGAAAGTTCCATTTACAGTAAAAAATAGGTTTTTACACTTTACAGTTAAAGCAATTTCCATTTTACATTTTAATACCATATTTTATAATTTGCGTTTAAGAATCAAAATTCGGAATTGCGAACGAATTACGACATTTAATGTGAAAAAAAAAAATCTTTGTACAAATTACGAACGAATAAAGTAGCTGATTACATTTTACATTTGCCCATGTCTATGAATTTACGTTTATTCATTTAAATTACAATATTATGAAAATAAAAACAATTGATTACAACTTACGAAAATATCCCTTGGTGACCCATTAGTTTTGCTAAAAGAGGGGCCTTGAATTCCACAGAAAAAGAACATCCTATACACACTTGAAAGAGAAAAGTAACCCAAAACGTATAGCAAAAACATAATGTGTTCTAAAAAATACAACTCAGAACAAGAAAAAATAAAATATGTGAAGAAAAAATAAATATATAACCCCCTCCCGACAATGGTCAACCCTTAATACAATATTGTTGTTTCTGGCTACAAAACTTATTAATACCAGACTACATCGATCGGTACCAAGTTGAAGGAAGTACTGGAGTACAAATTACAGTAAATGATTATATGTTTTTAATCTGCTTTCCTGGTTTGCCTACAGCTTTGCACAAAAGTTCAGATGAGGCCGGGAAGAAAATTTGCAGTTTTTCTACAACCAAGACTTTCTAATGGCTACCTCTTCAAAAGTATTCCATTTCGCATTCGCAGTCAGTTATTGTATAGTTCAGTTCACACAAATATCGTCACATATATATAATTCAAACTTTAAAAATATCGATTTACCTGTTGGTGGCGAGCCAGTAAAAGCCGAATAATAAACATATGTGACCCTACCATGACCCCGAACATGTCAGGGTCATCCGAGGTCAAATTGCATTGTTGAATATAAAAAACGTAAACACTATTATACGAATCAATTCATAAACGAACATATTGAACGTGCCGTTCTTCGTGTTGTCTATAACTATTCGGACTTGGTAAATGTTGGATTTAGTTGAAGAAATGCCGGGCAACATCTTGGAGTGGGTTAACGAGGCCAGTGTTAGTTGGTTGTTCTTTCTTTACTCCTTTTTCAGCGAACTGTCGATCAAGATGCCGGCGGCAACTGCATCGTCGATATTCTCGCTGTTTTCATACGACAACCTTGTCCATGCTGTTGCCGGTGCTACTGGAAGTGCCGTGTCGATGACAGTCTTCTATCCACTCGATGCAGCAAGGGTCCGATTACAGATTGACGACAAACGCAAGGCTAAACACACACCACAGGTTATTGCTGATATCGCACAGGAAGAAGGAATAAGCTCACTGTACAAAGGTCTGTTACCGGTGCTACAGAGCCTTTGCTGCTCCAATTTCGTATATTTCTACACCTATAACGGACTAAAACTCTCGTACTATGGCGCTACTCGTACACCAACCGGATTCAGCGATCTCGCGATTGGTTTTATTGCCGGGGTGACCAACGTACTGATTACCACACCGTTATGGGTGGCCAACACTCGCCTCAAATTACAAGGCGTGCGACTGAAAAGTAATGCAGACAAGGAGGTAAAACATCCCCGGTATAATGGAATGATTGATGCACTTTGTAAGATTTATAAGGACGAAGGCATCAACATATTATGGAGTGGGACATTCCCGTCGTTGATGCTTGTGGCAAACCCTTCCATTCAGTTTGCTGTGTACGAAGCATTGAAAAGATCACAGTTGCCGCTGGCTGGCACTGGTAACGAACTGTCTTCGCTCACTATCTTCCTCATGGGAGCAGTTGCTAAAGCAGTTGCAACCATAGCGACGTATCCACTTCAGGTTATCCAATCACGACTACGTTACCATGGCAACAAAGGGGAAAATGGCAAAAAGATGGGGTTTCTAGCAATGGTAATGGACTTAGTGAAGACTCGTGGATTGCGCGGCATGTTCAAAGGATTAGAGGCCAAACTATTGCAAACTGTTCTCATGGCTGCTCTCATGTTTTTAACTTATGAAAAAATAGCAATATTTGTATTCACATTGTTGAGAGCAAACATTTCATCTAGCCAACACAAATGATAATAATGACACTTTTATTTTCCAATATAATATTTGTGCATGCATTATTTCTATATTGTTAAATAAATTCACAAGTATGTTCCAATACTGAGCTGGTTTTGTCATTTGCAAGGAGGTTAAGACTTCATTTATTCACTGTATACTATGCTGTGTTTCAGGAAGACATGTATGGTTGACTATACTGCATCACAGAAAGCCATGTATTGTTCACTATACTGCATCACAGAAAGCCATGTATGGTTGACTATACTCCATCACAGAAAGCTGTGTATGGTTGGCTATACTGCATCACAGAAAATTATATATTGTTGATTATTATATACTACATCACAGAAAGCCATGTATGGTTGACTATACTGAATCACAGAAAGCCATGTATGGTTGACTATACTGCATAACAGAAAGCCATGTATGGTTGACTATACTGAATCACAGAAAGCCATGTATGGTTGACTATACTGAATCACAGAAAGCCATGTATGGTTGACTATACTGAATCACAGAAAGCCATGTATGGTTGACTATACTGCATCACAGAAAGCCTTGTATGGTTGACTATACTGCATCACAGAAAGCCATGTATGTTTGACTATACTGCATCACAGAAAGCCATGTATGGTTGACTATACTGAATCACAGAAAGCCATGTATGGTTGACTATACTGCATCACACATAGCTATGTATGGTTGACTATACTGCATCACAGAAAGCCATGTATGGTTGGCTATACTGCATCACAGAAAGCCATGTATGGTTGGCTATACTGCATCACAGTAAGCCATGTATGGTTGACAATACTGCATCACAGAAAGCCATGTATGGTTGACTATACTGCATCACAGAAAGCAATGTATGGTTGACTATACTGCATCACAGAAAGCCATATAGTTCACTATACTGCATCACAGAAAGCTATGTACGGTTGACTATAATGCATCACAGAAAGCCATGTATGGTTGACTATACTGAATCACAGAAAGACATGCATGTTTGACTATACTGTATCACAGAAAGCCATGTATGGTTGCTATACTGAATCACAGAAAGCCATGTATGGTTGACTATACTGCATCTTAGAAAG